AGCCGTGGGGTCCAATGGGGAGGTGGGGGCGTGTCTCGTTCTAGACTGGCAGCAGGGGCGGAGCTTGGCGGGGGAGCGGCTGCGGCCGGCTCCCTTGCAGTAAAGAGCTCAGCCAGCGCCTTGCAAGCTCGGACCTGCCCCACGGCCCAGCGGCAGATACAATTAAAGAGTTTATGTCCCCCTGTGTAAATAAAAAAATTCCTTAAAACAGTTGTGCTTTACGGCACCTTTTACGACAGTCGCGCTTTACGGCACCCTTCATGACAGTTTTGCGACAGTCACGCTTTACGGCACCTTTTACGACGGTCGCGCTGTACGACGCCTTTTACGACACTTTACGACAGTCGCGCTTTACAGCAGTTTTACGACAGTGACGCTTTACGGCACCTTTTACGACGGTCGCGCTTTACGGCAGCTTTACGACAGCCGCGCTTTACGGCACCTTTTACGACACTTTACGACAGTCGCGCTTTACGGCACCTTTTACGACAGTTGCGCTCTACGGCCGTATTTACGACAGTCGCGCTTTACGGCACCTTTTGCGACAGTCGCACTTTACGGCAGTTTCGCGACAGTCGCGCTTTACGGCGCCTTTTACGACGGTCTCGCTTTACGGCACCTTTTACGACAGTCGCGCTTTACGGCACCCTGTTTTATGACGGTTGTGCTTGACGGCACTTCACTTTACTGCACTTTATGGTTTGTAATTTTTTAATATCAAATGAATATAAAAATTATTAAATTTTTTTAGTTTTAAAGCTTTTTTTTTTTAATTTAACTTTATTTTATTTGGACTTCCTAGACCAGGTCTGGCCGATGATTGTGGTGGTGTTTGAGCGTCCCCAGTAGGAGGGAAAAGATGAGAACCTTGATGCTTCTTTTCAGAAGGCTCATTGATTATTTTATGATTTCTATTATATTAAAAGAAAATGAGATATTATGACTGCACTAAAAATGCAAGGAGACATCAGAAAGCTTGAAAGGAATGAATAATAAAAACCTGGGACTGCTCACAGCCCCGACACAGCTGGACCATGATTGGTCATCGAGTAGAAACAATGCACAGAAGACCAATCCAAGGTGCCCCTGTTGCTAAACCATCTCCAGCCCACACTCCACAGCCAGCAGATCATTATTGATTCCATTTCTGTTGTAAGGCTTCTCAGGAGAAAAATCCCAGCAAAAGGATTTTCATCCAACATGTCAGTGCCAGGTGATGGCACAGGCAGCATCGGCTGGCCGAGGTCACCGTGTCATCCCTGCCAGCCCAGGTGTCACAGCAAGGAGGAGAGAGTTCACCCTGTGCTCACCCTACTATACAGAGCAATACGACACAAAACACATACTAACACAAGATGATAACCTTTTCCTATTTTCATTACATGTTGATTTATTGTTACAGGAAAGCCAAAACAACAAAAGCACACAGAAAACAATACTACCATAACCACCCCCTTCAGATTACACACAAACTCACCGTCCTTCTCATCACAACTGCTAAATTACAACCCAGCAAACATTGGTCCTTGGGAACGTGGCTCCCGGGAGGCACCAAAAAAATCATCCTGCCAGACGAAAACCTAAGTTCCTGGACAGTCCATGCCCAAACTTTGGCGATGAACGTTGCCTCGCAGACTGACCGGGACCAAGGGAAAAAACCACCCAGCCCTGGGGAAAAAAGCAAAAAACACCCAGCTGAGGATTTTTTATTCTAAATTTGCTTTTCAGGTTTGTCAAATCCTTTATAAAAGTCACACACACAAGGTTAAATCCAGTCAGCAT